TTTCCACGGTAAATGTCAAAAGTTCGCTTCTCGCCGATCGGAATTTGGGGCGATTGTGCAAATTTCCTCGCAGCTTCTTTTTTTTTGTCGTCGTTGTTGTTACTCTCTTTCTCACTCTTTCCATTTTCGAAATTGATCTAAGCAAGCGTACGTGTTGCATGTGCGATCGGAATTTATTGCGATTTGCTTTCCCCCCCAAACACAAACACACACATTTTCTAAAGAGTCAATCGATCAAATATCGACGTCTGTTAATCGCGAAACGTTTTCCAATCTAGACAACCTCTTTTCATGATGGTTTCCATAGCGACATAGAACCAATTGTTTACTGAACTGAAATATCAGGTGACTAAATTGCAAAGTTATGCAACGCGTTCATTTGAAATGTTTGAAACACCTGATAAATTCGGATATAAACTGAATTGCATTTTGCGCGTACAACAACAATAGAGAGAGAGAAGAAGTTTTCTTCGTTAGCTACCAGTTTTCCCCAATTTACTCCCAATCAGTTCGTTCCACGAAGTGCGCGAACTTCGTTTTTCAATTGTCCTTTTGTCTATGCGGCCGATTGTTTCAGTTCATTCGTTTTGTTGCGTTCATTGCATACCACGCTCTCCTTCCTATCGATTCGTCCGGGTTTGATAATTTAATAAAGCCGAGCGTTTCGAAGAAGTCGAGGAGTTCATTCACCACCACCACTAACTAACTAACTAACTAACTACCCAACCCCCGCTGCCGCATCACAAACAAACCCATTTACGTGTGTGTGTTTGGTGACACGTGTCACAAGGCATTCTCCAGTTGGTATCGCCGCCTCCGCTCAGCTCCATGCATACCTTGTGCGATACCAACTTACCCATTGACAGATTGTGTTTCTTTTTGTCTTCGTTATCTGCCATGCAACGTTTCCTTTTCGACATACACCTGTCATTATTATTGTTGTTAAAACTTTACGTTTGATTAACTCAACGTTCTTTCCATTCATCCATTCCCAATGTTGTTATAAAAACATTGTTTTGCTTTTGTTTCTCGTCTTGTTTCATCTTTGCAAACGTCACTTGTGACAGATTGTTTTTTCTTCTTCCCTGTCATTATTCTTTGTTGTTTCACTGAAACAGTGTCAACTTTAAGCGTGACATCCCACCTCCCCCCCCAACTGGGACTTTATTATTTTCGCAGGATGATTTCCCGCGCGTCTCTCATATCCGCGTCGGGACGTTCATCGCTTGCTTCTTATTATTATCTTCCATCTCTTTATATAGCAAAACCGCGCGCACTCTATCTCTCTGTGTATTAAATTAATTTTAACGAAGTGGCCACCTCAGGGGGAATCCCCGTCTCGAATTCGTGTTTGCGTTTCGCGCAGACAGGAAGGAAAGGCTAAAACAAGAGAAACGAGAAGAAACAAAAAAGTAACAACACGTAACGGAAAGGGTGTTTCTCGCTCGTCGGAGGGAATAAATCGTGCGGCGAAAGAAGCTTTTAGCCTCGCTCTCTTCGTCTTGTTTCTCTCTCTCTCTCTATCTCTCTATTCGCCAAGATAAGGCCATAAATTGCACCTGGCCTACTGACTGCCTACTTACTGCATCGAGTCTGAGCCCTCTTAGTTTAGGGCCGCCGACTTTCCGATAATTTCTCCATGAACACAACCGACATTATTTAGCACACCCGTCCACCCCCCTTTTAAACACTCTCTGCTGCATAATTCAAACGAAATATGTGCATTTGCTAATACAAACACACACCTAGTTTCCAAATAAACGCAGACGACTGCGATGACGAGCGGAATACCCAATCAGCTTTCTTCTCTTCTCTTATTTGCTCCCATTATTCTCATTTATATATTGTTGCACTCTCGAACAAACGTCAAATTTCCATTGACAACTATAGACTTTTCATAATTCAACTCATAGCAATTTTGACATTAGTTCAAAATACAAACGTCAAATTTCCAATGACAACTCTGATTGTCTATAAATAGTTGTCAATGAAAATTTGACGTTAGTTTGCATTTTTTTGAAACAAAGGTCAACATTCCAATGAGATATTTTGTTTTTTAAGACAATGCAGAGTTGTCATTGGAAATTTGTCGTTTGTATTTTGAACGAATGTCAAAATTGTAATGAGTTAAATTATAAAAAAGTTGTCAATGGAAATTTGACGTTTGTATGTATTTTTTGCAACAAATGTCAACACTCCAATGGGATATTTTGTTTTTTTTGAGACAATGCAGAGTTGTCATTGGAAATTTGACGTTTGTATTTTGAACGAATGTCAAAATTGCTATGAGTTGAATTATGAAAAGTCTATAGTTGTCAATGGAAATTTGACGTTTGTTCGAGAGTGCAACAATATATAAATGAGAATAATGGGAGCAAATAAGAGAAGAGAAGAAAGCTGATTGGGTATTCCGCTCGTCATCGCAGTCGTCTGCGTTTATTTGGAAACTAGGTGTGTGTTTGTATTAGCAAATGCACATATTTCGTTTGAATTATGCAGCAGAGAGTGTTTAAAAGGGGGGGTGGACGGGTGTGCTAAATAATGTCGGTTGTGTTCATGGCGAAATTATCGGAAAGTCGGCGGCCCTAAACTAAGAGGGCTCAGACTCGGTGCAGTAAGTAGGCAGTCAGTAGGCCAGGTGCAATTTATGGCCTTATCTTGGCGAATAGAGAGATAGAGAGAGAGAGAGAAACAAGACGAAGAGAGCGAGGCTAAAAGCTTCTTTCGCCGCACGATTTATTCCCTCCGACGAGCGAGAAACACCCTTTCCGTTACGTGTTGTTACTTTTTTGTTTCTTCTCGTTTCTCTTGTTTTAGCCTTTCCTTCCTGTCTGCGCGAAACGCAAACACGAATTCGAGACGGGGATTCCCCCTGAGGTGGCCACTTCGTTAAAATTAATTTAATACACAGAGAGATAGAGTGCGCGCGGTTTTGCTATATAAAGAGATGGAAGATAATAATAAGAAGCAAGCGATGAACGTCCCGACGCGGATATGAGAGACGCGCGGGAAATCATCCTGCGAAAATAATAAAGTC